AAATAAGTCAATCAGAAAAGGTAATTTTCACATCTCACTCACGTGGAATTTAAGAAACAAAATAGGATCATAGGAGAAGGGAGGGAAAAATAAAACAAGACGAAATCAGGCAGACAAACCATAAGAGATTCTTAAAGGAAACAAACTGAGGGTTGCTGAAAGGGAGTAGGGTGGGGGGATGGGGTAACTGGGAAAAAAATAATAAAGCAGAGTATGTATGCGCAGTAGTGAAGCTGGCAATAACATGGGACAGTTTTAGATAGAATTATCAAGGAAGGTCTTCTCAAAGAGGGTATGTGTGAGAAATAAGCAAGAATCAGGGTGAAGAATTGAGAGCAATTATTCCCAGGAAGAGGGAGTGTAACTTAAAGCCTCAAGGGACAGATGAGTCTGGCCTGTGTTTATACACTGAGGAAAGTCAGTGTGGAGAACCATCTTTGTTGGAGTTTCACCCATAGTCCTACTTGAACAAGGAATATATCTATTTCTTTTTTTTTTTAAGATTTTATTTATTTATTCATGAGAGAGACAGGGAGAGAGAGAGAGAGAGAGAGGCAGAGACACAGGCAGAGGGAGAAGAAAGCTCCATGCACGGAGCCTGATGTGGGACTCGATTCTGGGTCTCCAGGATCACGCCCTGGGCTGAAGGCAGCGCTAAACTGCTGAGCCACTGCGGCTGCCTGGAATATATCTATTTCTTGCAAATTTTGACTTTTTAAAAATTTTTATCTTTTCCCTCATACAAGCATAATACATGCTTATTGTAAAAGATTAAAATGATTTATAATGTACAACAGAGAAAGTGAATGTTTTGTAATTCACTCGCCTCCTCTCCTTGCCCATGACTAAAATATACTTTTGGTATAAATTCTTCCCACATCTTTCTTTTTTCCACCCTTGAGTAAAATAAAAAATTTCAAATGCTTGCTTTTTAAAAAATTCTAGTTAAATAAATACACTTAGCGTACAAAGGATAAATGATATACCTAATGTTTAATTCTTTGGGTATTAAAATTATAAACTCATAATGTGTCTAAAAACCATAAAATATAACAATATTTTTTGATACATTTGCTTTACAGTTTGCTTGTTTTTTCTCTATGTTGGAGTTAATCAGCAAGGTAGACACTAGAAAGATACTACTTACTCTTGGCTTACTACATCTTATAAACTTAAATGCAGAATCATGGAATATACTCATAATTTGCATCTTAATATGTTGGGATCCCTGGGTGGTGCAGCGGTTTGGCGCCTGCCTTTGGCCCAGGGCACGATCCTGGAGACCCTGGATCGAATCCCACGTCAGGCTCTCCCGGTGCATGGAGCCTGCTTCTCCCTCTGCCTGTGTCTCTGCCTCTCTCTCTCTCTCTGTGTGCCTATCATAAATAAATAATAAATAAATAAATAAATAAATAAATAAATAAATAAATAAATAAATACATACATACATACATACTGTTATTTCTATTTGTATGTACTTTGCTAAATCCTTTGATACATAGTAATTTAAAATAGCCAAATTGTTCCTAATATTTCTATTAACATCCATAATGCTACTAGTAGAAAATGATCTGAGATTCAAAGTTGTTAGAAATAGATTGAAATAAACTCCCAATATTAATAAGGTTTACATGATCAGTTTAAGAAAGAAGTTATTAGGTTATACCTTTAACTTGAATGTAGTTAAAAATAATAAATATTTAAACATTTCCTTCTTTGGAGCGCCTGGGTGGTTCAGTCAGTTAAGCATCTGACTGTTGATCTTGGCTCAGGTTTTGATGTCAGAGTCATGAGTTCAAGCACCACACTGAGCTCCATGGTGGGTGTGGAGCCTACTTAAAAGCGAAAACAAACCCAGCATTTCCTTCTTTTAAGTATATAATATACATATAACATATTACATATATATCAGTTGTTATTGAAACATGCTGTATAGGCTGTAACTATAAAGCAGTGTGATAGATTGCTTTTCATTGTATCAGAATTGGTTTATTTACATGAATATTTTCCTTACAAAGTCAGGCCGGGAAGGTATCTTAGACATGCTGTCATTCATAAAAACATTTTTGAAACCTCTTTTAACTGGCTTTAAACCAGTTTGGAAAATACTCAAAAAACTAATTTCATTAACTTAGGGCTATTAAAATAATAAAAGTCCAAGTGTTTGATCATTCAGTTCAATTACTTAATCTCCTTTACTAGATGGTTTCCAAAACTTTAAGCCAAAGCACTGTCATGGATGAAGATACATACCTTTTAAAAAACGAGAATCCTTTTAAAAAAAACAAAAAGTGCCATACATACTGGAAGAATTTCCAAAAGAAGAGTACCAGAAGATCTCTCGGCATTATTGTCAAGATAAACTGATAGCCTTCTAAGGTTTCTCCCTTGAAAATGAAAGTACTCATTTGTAATATTTGATACAGATAACTACTGATGTGTTAAGAAAAGTTTAAAAAATTTATATTTTTCATGTGAAGTTTATTTACTAATAAAGAATATAGACAATGAAAATGATTGTAATTTGGGGAATGTAATAAGTGAAGCCAATAAGCAGTATTAGAAATACAGAGTTGTTTTGTTAATATCACTTGCAGGAAACCATACTTAAAAACAGTACTTAGTCTCTTTCTCTTGAGTTGTTTGAAACTTTCATGTAGAGGAAATTTCTATTTCGAAGAGCTTTGCTTAGTTTTCTATTATTTTTTAAATGATCAGACCATTGTCTTAATTTCATTAAAACATTTTAAAACGCATTAAAGCAAATTCATGTCCAGCCATTATACCTGATCATGGAGTGACCCAGCTTAATGAAACTTTATCTAATAAAACTATGTAACTTCTTTGGACAAAGACTTTACGTTATAGTCAAAATGATGATTTACCACCTTTCCAAGTGATTCTGTATTGTATGTTTGCATTTATTTAACATGTTTTAAAGTAAAAAGAAAAGACTATCCGATAGAAATTGGGAGAAAATATAGGCAATAGCTTGCATATCTTCTTTAAATCCAGAAGGATTGAAGTATAGAGTTTCAAAGCCAGTAAATTGAAATTTACAGTTTGATGCTGACTCAGACACATAAAGTAGGATGCCAGCTCTTCATTTCTTGCATTATTAAATAAATGAAGTGCATTTTGGATAAATTTTAAATATTAATTTTCAGACATGATGTGGGGTGGCTATAGGAGTGGTAGGGAAAAGAACTGAGTTGAAACTTCTAAGTATTATTTCAATTTAACAACAGTGACAAAAATCTGTGTAACTTAAAAACCTTTGGATCCTCCCATTTCCTTTTCCATTTTAGTTTTCTCTAATTTTCTTTTCTTTCTTTTCTTCTTTTCTTTTCTTTTCTTTTCTTTTCTTTTCTTTTCTTTTCTTTTCTTTTCTTTCTTCTTTTCTTCCCTCCCTTCCTCCCTCCCTCCCTCCCTTCCTTCCTTCCTTCCTTCCTTCCTTCCTTCCTTCCTTCCTTCCTTCCTTCTCTTTCTTTTCTTTCTTTCAGGCTATAATAAGCCAGCTGAGGAGTGAACTTGCCAAAGGCCCCCAGGAAGTTGCTGTATATGTGCAGGAACTACAAAAACTTAAAAGTTCACTTAATGAATTAACACAGAAAAATCAGGTAAGAATTTAAATACTACATATAGTGGTGAATTGAATTTGTATATCTTAAAGTTTAATCTTGTGTGTGTTACATATATATTGGCACAAGTACAATGTGACTTATTCTGGTTTTTAAGTGTTAAGGACATTCACATTGTTATGAAATCAATCTCTAGAACTCTTTTCATCTTGCAGAACTAAAACTCTACACTTTTTGAACAGCAACCCATTCAGGGCCGTCTTCTGTAAAGAAAAAATTCTCCTTTGTGTCTTCTCTATCTCAATACCATATTATTATACCTTTACTTTTGACACCAGATGTGTGAGTGCTCCACACATCAGCAGTTCTGTGACACCAGCTGGTGTCATACAATGTAATTCAATTCTGATACCATTTACTTGGAGATAGTGTCAGATCCCACAGTGTAAGAGATTCGTCCCACAAGACTGTGCCCCTACCCCAACACCCATTGAAAGTCCATCTTGTTACCTGTATTTTGCATCAAATGGCTGTAGATAGGAGGCTCCTACATCCTACAACCCTTTCTTTAAGTAATTTGCTAGAGTGACTCACAGAACACAGGAAAACATTTTACTTACCAGACTACTGGTTTATTTAAAAAATGATAATTCAAGAGTAGCCAGATGGAAGAGATCCTTAGGTAAGTTGTGTGAGAAGGGGCATGGAGCTTCCATGCTCTCTCTGGGTGCTTTCTCTGTGTTCACCAACCTAGAATCTCTCCAAACCCTGTCCCTTTGGGTTTTTAAGGAGACCTCCTTATATAGGCATGATTGATTAAATTATTTGCCATTGGTGATTAATTCGACCTCCAGCTCCTCTTTCCTCCCGAGGTCTTGGTGATAGTTGGGAGTTGGTGGTGGGGGTCATTGGTGGGGGTCCGGTTGAAAGTTCTAACCCTTTAATCCTGGTTGATTGCCATGGTGATCAGCCCTCATCCTTAGTTAAGGGCTTTTTAAAAAATCACTTCATTAACATAAACTCAATGGTGGTTGAAAGGGGTTTGCTATGAATAACAAAAGACATTTTCTTTGCTCTTATCACTTCCAAGGGTTTTTGGAGCTCTTCCAGAAATGAGAATGAAAACCCAAATGTATATTCCTTATTATAAATTACAATCACACTTTTGATGCACCGAGTTTTTGACTTGATATAATCCAGTTTCTCTGTTTTTGCCTTTAGTGTCATATTTAAGAAATAATTGTCAAATCCAGTGCCATGAGGCTTTTTCCCTGTTTTCTTCTAATTGTTTTATAGTTTCAGGTCTTAAGTTTAGGTCTTTGATTCATTTTGACGTTTTTTTTTTTCTTTAAATAGAGTAAGGTAAGGATTTACTCTCATTCTTTTGCATATGGACCATTTGTTGAGAGACTTGTCCTTATCCTATGGTTTTGGCACTATTGTTAAAAATCCTTGTGCAGGGACCATGTTAATATTCTCTGTATCATTCCAATTTTAGTATATGTGCTGCCAAAGTGAGCACCCATTGTTAAAAATCATTTGACCATGTATGTGAGTGAGTGTTTATGGGCTCTCTATCCTTATACCAGATAACCTTATACCTTATACTATATGTCTGTTTTTTTTTTTTTTTTAAGATTTTATTTATTCATGAGAGACACAGAGAGGCAGAGACATAGGCAGAGGGAGAAGCAGACTCTCCGCAGGGAGCCCCATAAGAGGTTCCATCCCAGGACCCTGGGATCATGACCTGAGCCAAAGGCAGATGCTCAACCACTGAGTCACCCAGGTGCCCCTATATTTCTGTCTTTTTGCCAGTACCATACTGTTTGGACTATTGTAGCTTTTAATAAGTTTTGAAATCAGGGAATGTGAGACCTTCAACTTTGTTCTTTATTTTGAATTTTGTAATGTTAATATTTCCCACCTTGTTTCTTTATAGATGAGCAACAGATAACATTTAGTTTGGGGGCAGGGCAGGTATTGGTTAGTATTTTTCTTTATGTTTTTACTTTTTTGGTGGTGAGGAAGTAGGGAGTCATTAAACACTTTGTTGAATGAATTTGTTGGCTTTGCTTGAACCTAATATTTTGGTGAAATATAACAAGGGAAACACCAAAAAAAACATGGTAGAGGGAGAAAAAAACAAATTGACTGTAAACTGTGAGCCTCCTTCCAACAGTCAGGTAAACGAACTTGGAAGCAGATCTGCCAATTCTTGTCAAGTTGTTAGACTATAGCTCTGGCCCACAACTTAACCACAATGTCATGAGAAACCCTGAGGTAGAACCACTAGCTAAGCTCTTCTGAATTCCTGACCCCCAGAAACTGTGTGAGATAATAGATATAATTTTTACCTGCAATTTGTTGCTTGTGCCATTGGCCAGTAGTTCTCAAACTTTTGATCTCAGGAATGCTACATATTCTCAAAATTGTTATGGACCCCAAGGAGGTTTTATTTTTTTGGGTTATATCTATGGGTACTTAGTATATTAAAGATTAAAACATATATTTAAAAAATATATATGTATTTATTTTAAGAACCTTATTAAATATTAATGACCATATTTTCAAAAACAAAAAATAGTGGTAATGTTTTATATTTTGCAAACCTCTTTAATGTCTGGCTTAGTATTAGAACAGATGGATTATCATATCTGCTTTTACATTTCATCTGTTGTAATATGGTTGAAAGGTATGAAGAAAATTCAGTCTCATATAGATATGTAATTGGAAAGAGGAATATCTTAATAACCTTTTCAGATATATAGCTATTTTTATCTGATACTATACCAAAACTAGATAAGGCATAGTTTCTCAAAAGTTAGTTACAACGGAGAGTCTGAAACCATACCAATGCTATTTTTATACTTGTAACATTAAATTTAGTAGTTTTTCTTACATTTTGAGTGGATCTTTCTTGTGCATGATTTTATAACATCATGCATTAGGTGGAAAATATTGGTTGTGCAGATATTCCAAATATTGACAGATTTCATTGTACCATATAAAAACAGTATCATTTGTCAATATCACCATCAATCTCAGAACAGACTTTAAGTACGAGGAAGTGTCAAGCTCATGGTGATGGATACAAGTTTTCCAAAAGTCTAAGCTTCATGTGAAAGCTGAATTGTATTATTATACTATATTTATTATTTATTATAGTATCAGTTCTGTTCTCTTAAGTGACAGGTTCTTTTCTTACCCAAGTCTGAATAATAATGGTTTGTCTGTTACTCTTTCCAGTGAAAATGGTGTTTCATGAAAAAAGCAACTAGCTCACCTTATAATTTGATACCATTAATGCTCTTCTGTGTGACAGTTATATTCTTTGGTATGCAGTAGAAGTGATCTATGCATACTTCTCTACTTTTTAACATAGATTTTATTTTTCCTTGCTCTTATAAATATTGCAGCTATGAACATTCACATACAAATCTCATGCATCTGTGTTAAAAATTTCTTTGTTATGTACTTCCAAGTAAATTTGCTGAATTGTAGGCTACACACATGTTCACATTTAATAGGTGATCTCAAATAATTTTCCAAATATATCTGTTTACCATTGTTCATTTCTTTGTCAATTCTTGATGCTGACTTGATCTTTTTGTCTGGCTTATTAAAACCTGTTTACCCTTCCACCTCCCTTTTTCTCCTATCAAGCTATATGTAGAAGACATCTACATAAAATTTAGTTTTATTTTTGTCCCTCAGTTTGATTTTTAATTCCTTTCAGATCAGAGTTGACGTTCTACTTTTTGGAAACTGACCAGGATGTGTACATGATGTGAATGCTTATGATCAGTGTCATTTGTCATGCAATTTTAAAACAGTAAACTGTTAATAAAGGGCATTATTTGACATTGATAGCCTCAAATGTGTAGTCAGATAATGAAACACAAATTGTATATATGTTTACACACACACACATTATTAAAGGAAGTATTATGGCTATTTCATGAATAATATATAAATCAAGATGATTTAGTCTGATAAAATTGGAATATTATTGACTAGGGAATAATAGAATCTTCTATTAATCTTAATAATCCTTATATAAGTTATAAGACCTCACTTTTTTTTCCAAAATGTTTTCCTGCTTAGGATTTGCTCACCAGTTAAAGTAAGCACAGACATGCATCCTTTTCTTATTATCCTTACTATTTGCCTCTTTCACCCCTCCCTACCCTGTGTCCTTGGCAAACCGTAATTGTTGACAGTGGTGATATTACATTTTGAATTTGGAAGTCTTTGCACATAGTCTTATGAAGGCCATTTCATAAAATGCCTTGGGCTGTTTTTGTGTGTGGCTCAGCAGCATCAAGGTGGATAGATAATATTTTAACTTACAGCGAATGGAAAAAATAATTGCTTTTATGCTACTGTCAAGATCTTCAGCATTAGATAAGTGTTTTGTAATTAACTGCCTTTGAAACCTTAAAAACAAAAGGGGAATATTGAAGAAACTTAGTTTCTAATAAAAATCATACTTTGACATTTAAACACAATTCTGCAGCTCAGTTTAATTATTCTTATATAAATTCTGGAAAAATCATATGCTTACTTAAAGCTACTAATATAGGTCATTGTAAGAGACTGAGTAATTTTTTGGGTTTCACCTCTCACCTCTTTTCCATCTTCTATTACTTTTCCCTTTCTAGCAGTCCTATTATTAAGTTGCTTGATAGTCTGAAGCAAGAGCCAGCTATGGCTAGTAGTTCTATTGCTGTGTGTTACTACTGTATTACAAAGTGGCATATTGAGGAATATTGTAGGACAGTGGTCAAAGGCATGTTTAAATCCCAACTTTGCCACTGACTGTGACACCCTCTCCAAGTTTGTTTCCTCTTCTGCTAAGAGATGATATTTTACCCACTTGTATCTCAGGAGCGATATGTGTCTTAAATAAATTAATAGACTTTTAAGGGCTTAGACTAGTATCTGGCTTTTCGTAAGCACCTCAGTGTTTGTTGTTTTTGTTTTTATTTGGTAAGTGTGATACAGCATTGGGCCAAGATGAAGGTGGAAGTTTTCCTAACTTACTGCCTAGTAAGTCAGGAAAGGCTTTCATAGAAGACATAACTTTTTAGCTTAATCTTCAGGGATCCTAAGGAACATTTCACATGGCAGAAGGGTTAATGGCAATTCATTTTGAGAGCTAGATATGCAAAAGGCATGGGAACACCTAAGAGCATAAAAGAATATGAGATGTCGGGAATTTATAGTAGTTCAATTTGTTCTTTGTCACCAAGCTCTTTTGAAGAACAAATGAGATGAGATCTCTGAAACTCCTTTGTAAACCAGCAAACATTAAAGAAATGCCATCCTTTTGCATTCATTCTCATTACCTGGGCAAGTAACAAAGTGAAAAATGGAGTAATACAGGGAAATTGTCTCTGAGATAATCTGTTGAGTGAATAATTGATGAGGAAATCGAGAACTGAACATTTAGAAGGAACGAATTTTGTTTACCCAATGACAATTGTGTAATGAATTAGAGTTAACAATCATTTATTTTTAATCATTATCATTATTATTTTATTTTATTTATTTTTTTTGAGAGAGAGATAAGAGGGGAGGGGCAGAAGGAAAGGGAGAGAATCTTAAGTAGTATCCATACCCAGCTTGGAGCATGTTATGGGGCTTGATCCCACAACCTTGAGATTGTAACCTGAGCCAAAACCAACAGTCTGGGCGCTTAACACAGATTGACTTGTCAGATGCTTATAGTGACTTCCTATTTAGTTATCTTTCTTAAAGAATTGAGTCAAAATTCTGATCTATGTCTTATGTGTAAGTGTATTGACTTAAAACAAAGTGTATTAGTTGTAACACCTACACTTAAACCAGATTTTTACATTTGATTAGACTGGTCGATCCAAATCTTTGAGGAGGTGTCATTTTTATATTTTGTACTTAAAAATATTAGTAACACGACAAAATATTAGATGGGTAAATTGTTTTTAGATCACTATTTTTACATAACTAGAAAGATATTTAAGTTAAACTTATGACTCTTAAAAAAAAGTCTTTAGCAAGAAGAGCAAAAATAATCAGCATCTGCATACCAGAACAGTGAATAATATTGATATGCTAAAGCTCTTATCAACTATGAAATTACAACACCCCAAATCAGAATTGTCATTAGATATTGTTATTCAAAATAAGTTTTGATGGTGGAAGGTAGTTTTAATATTTAACTCAAATGGTAGAATAAAAATATGTTGCATACCCTAAGAAATCCAGCAGATTTTAGTGTTTGACTTTATATCAAAATTTTGTTGGTAATTCTTAAATTATATTAGTAGAGTTTAGCCAAGAGGACCAAAAATAAAATAAGTTAGCATGTAATAATTTAATCCTTTTTGGCTAGAATATGTTCACTGTTTTTATATTGCAGTTTTGACTAATTTTGATGGTACTGCTATAAAGATTGGATAATTAGAATAATTGCAAATATTAGCAAAGGAAATTTTTACATTGATATTTCAGAACTTGTCTGAAAAGTTGCTGAAGAAA